TTTGCACTTATTGTCATTTGAAGGAATGGGCCATTATTCTTTCAAACTTTCTTGTTTTTTATCACCTAAGTTATAATAAGGTTAACTCATCCCTCATTCTGTATTTTTTTAATATATTTGTTTTTTTATTCTACTACATGTGATCGATCACCAAAATTATAATAACGTTAACTAATCGCTCAGTTTGCACTATTGCATTTTTTAACTCACACACATATAATTCTACTACATGTGATTCCATCACCATCAAATATAAATTTATAATCCATTTTATTCAGATTCATTTTATTAAAGAGTACACATTCCTTATTGTTTTAAAGATGAATTATTATTGATAGATAGTTATGTGTTTTTATTTTATTTTTGGAAGTAGAGAGAGAGAGAGAGAAGTATCCTTTTGTAGTTTGAAAATAAAAATTGGAGGTGCACTCCACTTTTTATTTTTTGTTCTGGTTTAACATGTAGTGGAAATTGGATTCTTGTTACTTTGTGTTGAATGATTGAATAAGTTTGATTTGAAATGTGTAATTTATTTGTAAAAATAATTATTTTAAATATATATATATATATATATATATATATATATATATATATATATATATATATATATATATATATATATATATATATATATATATATATATATATATATATATATATATATATATATATATATATATATATATATATATATATATATATATATTCTTAAATTTATATGATACAAAAGATACAAAGCTTTAACATAACCAACACATACAAAACATTACAACATGAAAGGTGAGAAATTTTATCGTAAGTTGTCAAATGACCCAACTGCCCTTACAAACTAACCAAAATATGAAACATGTTTCACGAGCGTACCCTCGCTTTGCCAAAACTATACACGGCGTTAGCGATATATTCATTTCCTTACTTAAAATACAGCGGCAAATCTATCGTGGAAGTAAGAGTGTGAACAACCACCAATCTAGTAGCTTTGAAGATCCATTTTATATGATATGTTTTATCTTTATAAGAAATTCTATAAAAAACCCACTCTCTTTAATAGTAATGGCAGATTTAATTTCCACAACTCTGAAAACTCTGAATATTCTAATGCATAAAGCATTCTGTTTATATAAAAAAGTTTAAAATCGTTTTATCATTTAAATTTTTTTTAATTTCAAATCTTTCTTTTCCAACTCATACAATGTGTAAGGATGTTGAGTTTTTGCTTAAAATGTTTCCAACTACTACAATATTCAACAATTAAAATAAAATATAAAAAAAATTAAAAAGACAATCAGCGTCATGTTTATCATCTATCAAACACCAATGTAAGTCGACACTTAATTTTTGTTCTTTCATTTCTCATTTAATTATATCATAGGTAACAACTATAAGTTTTATTAAGTTATATAGGTTTGTTCTTTCATTATATATATATATATATATATATATATATATATATATATATATATATATATATATATATATATATATATATATATATATATATATATATATATATATATATATATATATATATATATATATATATATATATATATATATATATATATATATATATATATATATATATATATATATATATATATATATATATATATATATATATATATATAATTTGAAAAAATTATAATTAAAAGGCATTAATCTTTATTTGTGTATAGTCTACAATATGAATATTTTTAGGAGATATGAGCATTGAAAGATCAATATTCCAAGTGTTGTCATGATGGTGGTTGTGAGGTAATTAAATTTTACTAATAACAATGTATAAGTGCATTAGAGGTTACATTTTCACCCAAAACATGAGAGATTAACAATTTGCAAAAGAACTTAAAAGGAGTGTCAGCAGGAACAATATTGAATGATAAATAAGTTAGGTCAAAATATAATCATAGAATCACTTTGAACAATTTTTTCAACTTTATCACTAGATATGTCATATTTCCCATACATTCTTTGAAATGATATGTATAAAAGCTAGAGTTTCCTCAAACTCTTTGCTTGGTCTAAAGATTTTCAGTATCGTTTTTTATATTGTTCATTGATCATTATCCACATATCAAAGGTTAACTATTACTGTAGTATACTCACTTTGTGCAACATATCAAAGATTAACTATAATTGTAGTTAATAAAGAATAAAGTAGAAAGAAAAAAAAGACAACAAGCACCAAGAACTTTTATTCATATATTTCTTCGCATAATACATAACATCACCACCTTATTTAATATATATTGTTATGAAGATGATAATACTAGCCTAATTATTATCATCTTCTGCAGCAGCTGGAATCTTGGCGGTGGAGGTGGCGGTGGGGCAGTGGCGACAGATGGAAAACCGGGGGAACACCATTACCACATGGTGGATTATGGCAAGGACAGTTGTTGAAACACATGGTGGAGGGTGGAGGCATGTCAGCAGTGGTTGTTGGGGAAAGAAGGAGTCCGGTTGAAATGGCAGCAAGAACAAGGAAAAAAGAGAGGCTTTTCATGATATTAATGTTTGTAATTGTAAGGGGTGAAGATTGTAGTAAGGGAGGAAGCAGTATTTATAGAAGTAGAAAAAATACTGTCACCTAGAAAATAATTACATTGAAGTAAATTGAAAAGAGGTTGGGAATCCGAATATTACAAGGGAAATGAAGTTTGGCATTCAGTAAATACAGTATGGATTTCAAAAAGTATTTCAATCTAACTTATGATTTCAATTTTTACATCAATCCGGAAATCTAAATTCATCGGTCCCCCATATGTACACCATACCTATTTTTGAGAAACATTCAAATCCATGCATATTTTCTTCAATCTTCTTCTCATGAACACTTGTTGCTTCATCTTCCTACTCTTCAATTAACAACCATCTCTTCAACTTGAATTTCACCCGATGTAGTTACAACTTGGACTCATCTGTTACACAATCTCTGTGTTGTATTGTGTTTCTTATCACACACTCACTCTAGTTACATGTTAAACACTAGTGCTATGCTATAAAATCAATGCTACTTTTCATTTTTTATTTATAAAAAATTAATTAAAATTTGCATAAAAACTATCTATCTCTCACATTATAACCATTAAATATCATTATCAAATTTTGAAGGATTTAGTATATACTACTTTATCAATAACATCTAATACTTGTAATACTTTTTCAATTGTGTATTTCAATTAAAATTAATTATCCAAACAACACTTTTTAATACTATTTTAACATGTATATAAATATGTAGAATAATTAATTGAAAAACTCTCATTAATGAATTTAGAAAACTACTTATGGTTTCGAATTTGTAGGCATCTTTAGGATTGAGTGCACTGTCTCTCCTACATTAAGTTTTATTAATTTATATAGGTTTGTTATTTCATTATATATATATATATATATATATATATATATATATATATATATATATATATATATATATATATATATATATATATATATATATATATATATATATATATATATATATATATATATATATATATATATATATATATATATATATATATATATATATATATATATATATATATATATATATATATATATATATATATAAAATTTGAAAAGATTATAATTAAAAGGCATTAGTCTTTATTTGTGTATAGTCTACAATATGAATATTTTTAGGAGATATGAGCATTGAAAGATCAATATTCCAAGTGCTAGATACTTAAGTTGTGTTGTCATGATGGTGGTTGTGAGGTAATTAAATTTTACTAATAACAATGTATAAGTGCATTAGAGGTTACATTTTCACCCAAAACATGAGAGATTAACAATTTGCAAAAGAAACTTAAAAGGAGTGTCAGCAGGAACAATATTGAATGATAAATAAGTTAGGTCAAAATATAATCATAGAATCAATTTGAACAATTTTTTCTACTTTATCACTAGATATGCCATATTTCCCATACATTCTTTGAAATGATATGTATAAAAGCTAAAGTTTCCTCAAACTCTTTGCTTGGTCTAAAGATTTTCAGTACCATTTTTTATATTGTTCATTGATCATTATCCACATATCAAAGATTAACTATTACTGTAGTGTACTCACTTTGCGCAACATATCAAAGATTAACTATAATTGTAGTTAATAAAGAATAAAGTAGAAAGAAAAAAAAGATAACAAGCACCAAGAACTTTTATTCATATATTTCTTCGCATAATACATAACATCACCACCTTATTTAATATATATTGTTATGAAGATGATAATACTAGCCTAATTATTATCATCTTCTGCAGCAGCAGGAATCTTGGCGGTGGAGGTGGCGGTGGCAGTGGCGACAGATGGGAAACCGGGGGGAACACCATCACCACATGGTGGATTGTGGCAAGGACAGTTGTTGAAACACATGGTGGAGGGTGGAGGCATGTCAGCAGTGGTTGTTGGGGAAAGAAGGAGGCCGGTTGAAATGACAGCAAGAACAAGGAAAAAAGAGAGGTTTTTCATGATATTAATGTTTGTAATTGTAAGGGGTGAAGATTGTAGTAAGGGAGGAAGCAGTATTTAAAGAAGTAGAAAAAATACTGTCACCTAGAAACTAATTACATTGAAGTAAATTGGAAAAGAGGTTTGGAATCCGAATATTGCAAGGGAAATGAAGTTTGGCATTCAGTAAATACAGTATGGATTTCAAAAAGTATTTCAATCTAACTTATGATTTCAATTTTTACATCAATCCGAAAATCTAAATTCATCGGTCCCCCATATGTACACCATACCTATTTTTGAGAAACATTCAAATCCATGCATATTTTCTTCAATCTTCTTCTCATTAACACTTGTTGCTTCATCTTCCTACTCTTCAATTAACAACCATCTCTTCAACTTGAATTTCACCTGTGGTAGTTACAACTTGGACTCATATGTTACACAATCTCTGTGTTGTATTGTGTTTCTTATCACACACTCACTCTATTTACTTGTTAAACACTAGTGCTATGCTATAAAATCAATGCTACTTTTCATTTTTATTTATAAAAAATTAATTAAAATTTACATAAAAACTATCTATCTCTCACATTATAACCATTAAATATCATTATCAAATTTTGAAGGATTTAGTATATACTACTTTATCAATAACGTCTAATACTTGTAATACTTTTTCAATTGTGTATTTCAATTAAAATTAATTATCTAAACAACACTTTTTAATACTATTTTAACATGTATATAAATATGTAGAATAATCAATTGAAAAACTCTCATTAATGAATTTAGAAAACTACTTATGGTTTCGAATTTGTAGGCATCTTTAGGATTGAGTGCACTGTCTCTGCTACATTAAGTTTTATTAATTTATATAGGTTTGTTCTTTCATTATTATTATTATTATTATTATTATTATTATTATTATTATATATATATATATATATATATATATATATATATATATATATATATATATATATATATATATATATATATGGAGATATGAGCATTGAAAGATCAATATTCCAAGTGCTAGATACTTAAGTTGTGTTGTCATGATGGTGGTTGTGAGGTAATTAAATTTCACTATTAACAATGTATAAGTGCATTAGAGGTTACATTTTCACCCAAAACATGAGAGATTAACAATTTGCAAAAGAAACTTAAAAGGAGTGTCAGCACGAACAATATTGAATGATAAATAAGTTAGGTCAAAATATAATCATAGAATCAATTTGAAAATTTTTTTCTACTTTATCACTAGATATGCCATATTTCCTATACATTCTTTGAAATGATATGTATAAAAGCTAGAGTTTCCTCAAACTCTTTGCTTTGTCTAAAGATTTTCAGTACCGTTTTTTATATTGTTCATTGATCATTATCCACATATCAAAGATTAACTATTACTGTAGTATACTCACTTTGTGCAACATATCAAAGATTAACTATAATTGTAGTTAATAAAGAATAAAGTAGAAAGAAAAAAAAGACAACAAGCACCAAGAACTTTTATTCATATATTTCTTCGCATAATACATAACATCACCACCTTATTTAATATATATTGTTATGAAGATGATAAAACTAGCCTAATTATTATCATCTTCTGCAGCAGCAGGAATCTTGGCGGTGGAGGTGGCGGTGGCAGTGGCGACAAATGGGAAACCGGGGGGAATACCATCACCACATGGTGGATTTTGGCAAGGACAGTTGTTGAAACACATGGTGGAGGGTGGAGGCATGTCAGCAGTGGTTGTTGGGGAAAGAAGGAGGCCGGTTGAAATGGCAGCAAGAACAAGGAAAAAAGAGAGGTTTTTCATGATATTAATGTTTGTAATTGTAAGGGGTGAAGATTGTAGTAAGGGAGGAAGCAGTATTTAAAGAAGTAGAAAAAATACTGTCACCTAGAAACTAATTACATTGAAGTAAATTGAAAAGAGGTTTGGAATCCGAATATTGCAAGGGAAATGAAGTTTGGCATTCAGTAAATACAGTATAGATTTCAAAAAGTATTTCAATCTAACTTATGATTTCAATTTTTACATCAATCCGGAAATCTAAATTCATCGGTCCCTCATATGTACACCATACCTATTTTTGAGAAACATTCAAATCCATGCATATTTTCTTCAATCTTCTTCTCATTAACACTTGTTGCTTCATCTTCCTACTCTTCAATTAACAACCATCTCTTCAACTTGAATTTCACCCGGGGTAGTTACAACTTGGACTCATCTGTTACACGATCTCTGTGTTGTATTGTGTTTCTTATCACACACTCACTCTAGTTACATGTTAAACACTAGTGCTATGCTATAAAATCAATGATACTTTTCATTTTTATTTATAAAAAATTAATTAAAATTTTCATAAAAACTATCTATCTCTCACATTATAACCATTAAATATCATTATCAAATTTTGAAGGATTTAGTATATACTACTTTATCAATAACATCTAATACTTGTAATACTTTTTCAATTGTGTATTTCAATTAAAATTAATTATCCAAACAAAACTTTTTAATACTATTTTAACATGTATATAAATATGTAGAATAGTTAATTGAAAAACTCTCATTAATGAATTTAGAAAACTACTTATGGTTTCGAATTTGTAGGCATCTTTAAGATTGGGTGCACTGTCTCTGCTACATTAAGTTTTATTAATTTATATAGGTTTGTTATATATATATCTATATATATATATATATATATATATATATATATATATATATATATATATATATATATATATATATATATATATATATATATATATATATATAATTTGAAAAGATTATAATTAAAAGGCATTAATCTTTATTTGTGTATAGTCTACAATATGAATATTTTTAGGAGATATGGCCATTGAAAGATCAATATTCTAAGTGCTAGATACTTAAGTTTTGTTGTCATGATGGTGGTTGTGAGGTAATTAAATTTTACTAATAACAATGTATAAGTGCATTAGAGGTTACATTTTCACCCAAAACATGAGAGATTAACAATTTGCAAAAGAAACTTAAAAGGAGTGTCAGCAGGAACAATATTGAATGATAAATAAGTTAGGTCAAAATATAATCATAGAATCAATATATATAAAAGATAACAATAATGTGACTAAGGTCCCAATTATAAATTCCATGACACAGTTGTAAAAAGTTCTTAACCTTTAAAATAATAGGTCATAACATAAGGAAATGAGTAAAAGTCATGACTCACAATGGTGGTTGAGTCACTATTGTGGTCAGTAGTTTGGATAATATTTTAATTTATTAAGTATAAATTATTCTTAAATAGTATCTACAAATTAAAATGAAATTTTTTATCATATTTTTATAAATTAAAAATAAAATTCGATCCAATTCTAAAAATTACATAAATCATTAATTTTCCAGTTTTTAATTGATTTTCTTATTTAAATTCGGATTCATCTCCATACTAATTAGTTTAAATAGACTGGTTAAAATTTTAATTCTCAGTTTAATTGATTAACCACTAATCCGGTATTAATTACCATATAATTTAGTAATTAAATACTTGATCCCTATAATTCAACCATCTTATTAATACTTTTAAAAACATGTATACTAGTATATTATAATAATAATCTTATAAAAGAAGTCAAAACACATACCCTTTCTATGACAATATCCTTTCCATGTTCAAAAATTGCTTCACAAACAACTCATAATTACAGGGTTTGTAGAAGAAGAGTGTCAACCAACTTTCGTTCCATATGCGACTGATACATAACAAAATACAAAGTGTCAGTAATGTATTAACCAACCTATCATAATATTTTACACATAAGATATCATCACCCATCTTTTGCTCCATGGTGATTGTGAATATAGCATGTGAGCGACTATTCAAAACATACAAACCAAACTATTAATATTCTATCAATTTGTTCTAAAAAAATGTAGATTTTTTGTTAACACTTTACCTCAATTGACTATTCATGTTAGTACTCCCTGTTGCATATGACAATGAGCCACTTGAAAGATGTGATGCCATTTCTTCTTTCGTTTTAACTACGGGCTCAACCACCACTAGTTTCGTCTCCATTATAATTTGTGTCCATAGTGTATGTTTCCCCCAAGCCAGTCTTACAAAATGAGAACGGAAAACACTCAATTACAATTCGCAATAAAATTCTAGACTATAATTAATAAATATACAATATACATCATTTGAACATTACACCTGACCATATGCAAGAACAATAGCATTATATCCATTGAAGAGTGCTTCAATAAGCGACGCGACACAATCAACGTAAATCACAGACAAAGATTGTCATGTGCTATTATATACATAATCATATGTGAATAAATGAGATTCAACTTGCACCTTAAACACAACAATACATCAATTCTGGAATAATTTTAAAATTTAACCATAAGTGGGCTGCTCAAGAACTCTCTAATCTATAATAACATTATGTTAGTAATGTTAGAAATGCATTTTAGAACTAAGTGAACCATGACTATGGTACATTTTACCATAGATCCAACAAAGACACAAACCTGATTAACATTTCAAATAAGTCAATCTCAAACAAAACCTAAACATGATATTTAGATAAATTCAAATAAATCAAATCAAACAAACCCCAAATCTAAAAGCATTCAACAATCAAAGGCACAAAACCATTGAAACAAACTAGAGATTCAACAAAATCACACAAAAAAACAACCTCACATAATCCTTTGGAAAATCATATCACATCAAGATAAAAAACTTAAACTAAATAAATTCACAACACTCAAAAACTGCGATAAAGCAAAACCTAACAAAATTGAGATTTAACAAAACCTAGATCCACCCCATCAAAACAAAACAAAAAATCACCAATCTAAAAAACTAAACATCACATAAACCATTAACAACAAAAACAAAAATCCTAAAATCTAAATTAAAAAAAAAGTCCTAGATACAGAAACAGGGATTGTTGATACCTGACTGAACTTAAGAGCATGTTGTTTGTCGGGGAGCTGGAGATT